TCAGGACTGGACTCTGCCTCCCAGAATGTGGCAGGAATCAGATCATCAACGACCTCCACCGATAAAGCATATGCCACCATGACATCATCATATCTCGCTGGCCGACGAATCTCTCTCCTCGGTCTATCTGTTGCAATGGACCCCTGAGCATGACCCTGCTCATGAGCCTCGTCATCCACTGTATCCCCCAAATGCCCGACTGTCATCTCATCTCCTCCCTGTGTCACCTCTGTAGGAGTCTCAATGGGAACAGTGCCAACTGGAGTGGGTGGAGTCACATCATCCTCCACCTGCTGCGATATCCCACCTGTCTGATCTTCCTCCACCTGCTGAGGAACTCGAGGCTTCATCATGTACGCCTCATCAAATGTGACATCTCTGCTAATGACCATCTTCTTGTCTTGTGGATCCCATAATTTAAAGCCTTTGACACCTTCTCTAAATCCCACAAAGATAGCCTTCCTCGCTCTCGGATTCAACTTCCCATCACTAACATGGAAATAAACTGGACACCCAAAAATCCGAAGAGTCTCATAATCACTAGCCACAGAACCAGACCAACGCTCCAAAGGAGTCTTCCCCTCTATCGCAGTGCACGGCAACCTGTTAATGAGATGGCTAGCATAAACTAACGCCTCGGCCCAAAAAGATCTAGCCAATCCACTCTGCGTCATCATACATCGCACCTTCTCCAGCAAGGTACGGTTCAGCCTCTCTGCCACCCCCATTCTGTTACGGTGTCTCTCTAACTGTGAAATGGGCTCGCATAAACTAACGCCTCGGCCCAAAAAGATCTAGCCAATCCACTCTGCGTCATCATACATCGCACCTTCTCCAGCAAGGTACGGTTCAGCCTCTCTGCCACCCTATTCTGTTGCGGTGTTTCTCTAACTGTGAAATGTCTTCTAATGCCGTGATCCTGGCAAAACTGCAGAAATGGATCACTCTTGTACTCTCCACCATTGTCTGAACGAAGAGTCTTCACCTTTCTACCTGTCTGCAGCTCCACTTTCTTCTTCCACTCCACAAATATATCCAGGACCTCATGTTTATGCTTCATGGTATATACCCAATTCCTCCTGGAATAATCATCAATGAAAGTGACGAAATAATTTGCCCCACCAAGCGATGTGTGCTTAGAAGGGCCCCAAACATCTGTGTGAATGTAGTCTAATATACCTTGGGTGTTGTGAATTGCGGTGCCAAACTTCACTTTAGTCTTCTTCCCAAGTATGCAATGCTCACACAGCTCCATCTTGCAGGTCTTTGCACCTTTCAATAGCCCCTGTTTTGCCAATGACTGAAGGGACTTTTCACCTGTGTGTCCAAGCCTCATGTGCCATAGTGTGGTAGTGTCCTCCTCTGTGGTGATAGAAGCAGCCAGACCTCCTGTAACTGTCTTGCCCTTCAAGTAGTATATGTTATTTTCCCTGACACCTTGCATCACCACCATGGACCCCTTCATGACCTTCAAACTAGCATCTTCTAAGATCACTCTATAACCGGATGCCTCCAAAGTCCCAAGAGAAATGAGGTTCTTCGTCAACTGCGGCACGAACCTCACATCTTTCAATTCCCTAGTCACCCCGTCATGCATTCTGATTCTGACTGAGCCAATCCCACTAATAGGACAAACGTGATCGTTCCCCATGAGCACCACGTCTCCTCTCTTCAACTCCTCAAAGTTGGTAAACCAATCCCTCTTAGGGTAAATATGAAATGTAGCTCCCGAATCAAGCATCCACTCCGTAGAGTCGGCATAACAAATTGACGGCAGTGCAGGACAAGAATAACCGGAAGAATCTGAATCTGAAATGTCGCCAACAACATTGGCAACATTCACCTCTGAAGCTTGTACAGCTTTCCCCCTTTGCTTCCCGGCTCTATCCTTCAACTTTGGGCACTCATTTTTCCAATGTCCCTCTTCTTTGCAAAAGGCACATTGATTTCTACCAACACTTTTATGGCCACCCCTATTCTTCGATTTTGAGCGGTTGAACTTTTGACGGTTTGGAGCACGGTCACGAACTGCAAGTGCATCACCCGATGCCTTCTCGGAGGGCTCACCATCATTCTTCCTCAGCTCATAATTCACCAATGCCGAGGTCACCTCCTTGTAGCTAACTGTAGTTCGCCCATTTATCATAGTGAGAACAAAGGTGCTAAACTCATCATCTGGCAATGAACACAACAATAACATCGCCTTGTCTTCATCCTCCACCATGATATCAACATTGGCCATATCCGAAATTAGCTTTGTGAAGTCGTTAACATGCTCTCGAACGGAAACTCCCCTCTTCATCTTGAATTGGTAGAACCTCTTCTTCAAGTGAAGCCGATTCTCAATGCTTTTTGTCAAATATTTTTCATTGAGCGTTTCCCACAATCTCTTTGCCGAAGTCTCGTTCATCACATCATAAATGAGATCCGGTGTTAGGCATGACCGAATAACCCCACAAGCCCTACTGTGCATTTTCTTCCAAACCCTATCATCAATCTCCTCGGGTTTCTCTTGAAACTCAAGAGTCTCCTCCAAATTTTGTGCATCCAATGCGTCCATTACTTGACACCTCCATAAACCGAAGTTGATCTTGCCGTCGAACTTTGGGACATCAATTTTAGTGTTATTGATGCTCAAATTTTGGATCACCTTTGTCAAAGCCGACCCCGATGTACTAGTAGCACTTGAACTAGCCCTTCTTGTATCACCCATATTGTAGATCTACTCTTCAAATAAGAATCCAACAGTGAATCCTTCGAACAAAACTCCCAAATCCAACCCGGAGCTCTGATACCACTTGTTGTGCGCCGCGGAAGCCTCGAATAGACAATACAAAAACACACACGAACAATAGTAGACCACAAGAGAACACAAACTACCAATCATAGCAAGAACACAAGATATACGTGGTTCGGCAATGTGCCTACGTCCACGGGACAAGGAGGGGGGGGGTTCACTAATCAAATCAAAGGGGAATACAAATTAGGGTTACAAATCTTACCCAAAACCCTCAAACAAGATCACTTGATCTCTCCAATAGACTCCAACAAAAGATAGTCGGTCGACCGCAGCACCACTGCCGGTCGACCGCAAAATATCCCGAGGTCCAGTCTGCTCTCTGGACAATTCGCGGTCGACCGCAGCGCTTCGTCCGGTCGACCGCCCAAATTCCAGAGGCACACTAAGAGTTGTGTGCACATATCGGTCGACCGCAGCTCCACTGCCGGTCGACCGCCCAACTTCCAGAGGCATACCTCTGACTTTTCACCAACTCTACAGTCATAATGACTAACATTTCATTAATGTTGATGGCGACTGGCCGACGAAGTGTGAACGCTAACTGATCATGCATTAAATGCGATGTGACTCTTGATGAAGCTGACAAATTGTTCCACTGTTCAAGACGCTCAGTGTCAGGTCCGAGAAGGGAACACCTTCCATCTTGGATTTGGCTTCTAGTATATCACGGGTCGAATATGCCTTTCGTCTCGGGTTTGAGTTGCGAGATAGGTCGGCGAACTCCGCTCCCATATCTTGCTCTCAAATGTATGTGAGTTGACCGGCTAGTTATTACACGTGTCTGCTTTTTGAAGCTTGGTAATTTCCAGAGTATAACATATAGCAACTCCTATTCGTGCACAATTCGTTTGCCTGATCTCAAAGGAGCCACCATCGTTGAGTCAAAGCTTGGCTGGTTCCTTGCCCATCGCGCTGGTAGCTTCTTCTTCTACAACCTTTCTCCCTTCAAAAGATTCACATCAGAAAATACTCCATAGTTGAAGGTGATCACATGTTTAAGTTTTCAACAGTCCCAACTTGTTCAAGTTGCATCCTTTATATTGCTACCAGAAGAAACAATGAATAATTAGAGATAGCATTGTGTAAAATTAACGAAGAAGAGTGGATTATGCTTAAGATTGGCCAAACGTTGAACACGATCCTGGGAATGCGTACTTGTGATTGTGTCAATAACAACATTTGGATCTATGGTTTGGTGGTCGGGGAAGAAAAAGAGAAGGTGAGGGTAATTGGAGTCGAGTTTCCTCGCGAAAGCCATATTGAATGGCAAGCAATCTATTGGCATGAAAAGGTTGGAACCATGAACTCAGTTTTGGATCTTTTGCTCCCTGATGATTGGGTGCACAAATTTGGAGCAGGAGGGATTTCTTCATCCTCAATTGGCTGGCGTTCTTGTTATTGTTCCTTATTTGAACTTGGATGCCAATTCTCTGAGATTGTTGAGATCATAGATGGGGAGGAGAGTAAAAAGCAAGCTTAAGAATGTGAAAGCTGCATGGATCGAACCTAGGTTTGGTTAAAACTAATGGGTGTGAGTTTATTAGATCCTTGTCTAAAGTTCAGTCGATTTTCTAAGTTCAAAGTTTTTCTCGAAAATGTTACAATTCGTGCTTGTACCAGGTTTTCATATCATTTGGTTTTATGTTGATGGCGATAGACTGCAAGGTCTCCGTATCATTTTATGATTAGTCTAAATAAAATTTGTGGTTAATTAGCAGTTACATATCTTACAGTCTCCCCTGCTTTGCACTTCTATATGCCCTCACTTTGTTTCAGAGCGCTACTAACTTAATGGTTTTAAAATTGGCACTTCAGTACTTTTTGTAATGCAAATTGTGACAGTATTGGTCTGAAAATTATCACTGGCACTCACATGATAATTTTAAAGTTTTTAATCCTTAATGTTTGCTAAATTTACCTAACCCAGTTTTATTGGATAATAGAAACCAGTTAGACGATGTAAAATGCATGTCTTTCGTGATTGCTTTCTGTACTCTCTTGTTCTTTTCTCTGCCAAGTTCGCAAGTATATGCGGTCCCTAATATTTTACATGGTGGTAAGGGGATGGTCGAAATGGTTCATTTCTGTATCAAACCAGTTCATTGCCATAAGTGTTTAACTATTAGATGATACTCTAGGGTATGTCCAAATAGATTGAAAATCTCAGTGAAGTTTGCACAGTGTGACACATCTCTGCTTCAAAGTGCATCACATGCGAGAAAACTAGTAAGACTATAAGTACTCTGTACTCCAGAGCTTTCTTCTCAAGTATCGCATATACATTCTTCAAATCATGAATCTTTTAAACAATAACCCTCACTTCCTACCTCTACCTTATCCTAAAAGCCTTTTGTATTTCTGCAACAACCCTGCTGGCGACCTCTGAACCAAACAATCTCGGTAAGTTAGCAGCAAGATCAATCTCAACAGTCTTATTCTTAATTAATTCATCCCTTTTCAACAATCCAACTCGCTCACTCTCCTCCAAGGCTTTCATTTTATTTACACATTTGTTGGTCCAAACTCCAACAATATCCTTCGCAGCTTGGCTGACATGAACCCTAATTAGCTCTTCAAAACAACTCTCTCCTCCTTCTCCACAATTAACATTAACTGCAGTGGCTGTTGGAGACAGAACACTCCGGATGTAAAGAGAGGAGGAGAGATAAGGAGAAACTTGAGGTAGTTGATTAAGGTCTTGCCTTGATTTGTCCAAATTGGTGGTGTTGTAGAATTCATCGAGATACTCAGGATGAAGGACGAGATCTTTTCTCGGTAGCAAGTCCATGAAAAGGATGAGGGATGTTGGGCTTCCTTGTATGAACTCCATTAAAAGGTGAGGCGCATCAGTTGAGGCATTGAGGAAGGCGAAAACTGTGGTTATGTTGAGATCCCCAGTAGGAACCTTGCAATGGAGCCATGATTGTAATATGAAATCAACCTGCACATAGCAGGAATATATCCATCTTCAGATAATTGTATTATTGGATCATATATCTAGGAGTTAACTGTTAGATACAGTTAATAAGAGCTAATTATATAATGTAAACATGTTAGGGAGTTTGGCAGAAACTGAGCTGAAAATGTTCAAAGGTCACATTGAAGCACAGAATCTCAACTATTCACAGTCGCCTAACAATATTGGTATCTTTACTAGCAACATGCTGAATTGAGAAAGTTCACCGTTACTAATATCAAATTACCATTCAGAATCTTCATATCTTAGTGAGACGATTTTTGTTATTATATCTGCAGAGTTTTTTAGTTTTCACAACTTTAAAAGGCGTTTCATAAGCGGCACAAAATGAAACATACAGGGCATCAAGTACCTTAATTTGGACCAGACTCTCTTAACCTGAATTCGTCTGAAATATACAACCAAGAATACTGCATCTCATTAGACAACTGATCTTTTTCAAGTAACACACATGCAATTTTATTGTTTTCCCTGATTATGTGACTTAAACAGTGCTACACTTACATTATCGATTCTGGAAAGGTTTCAAGTTTGCGACTTTGAGTATTTAGTCTTAGGATTTGTGCTGTGCGAGTGTTCTATTGCGAAGCCATAAAAAGTAAAATTGTCTTTTCATATATATTGAGCAGTTCACCTTATTGAACAAAACCAACAGTTTCTTTCAAAGTAGTATAGTTCCAAACTGGGATCTGATATAGAACCATCTGGAGACCTAACCTGTAATACCCCACTAAGATAGTCCTACATCGGTGGGAGTGTGAGAAATTGAGAGCTTTACATGGAGTTCAAGTGTAGCATTGGCTAGTCAATTCTGACAGTGCGCCAACGGGCTCGCAAGCCCGGAGTGTGACAAATGGTATTAAAGCAATTTGTCAAGGGGAAGTGTGGAACTAAGTGCTATGTGGGGCTAGGTGCTACACGGTGTGAGCTCGGTGGGAGCCACCTCTAGAGCTCGTTAGAGTCACCTCTAGAGTCCACGTCACCTGACAGTGATACTAGGATGTACCAATTGTCATGTCACGATGAGGACACCGCATTTGTAAGGTGAGGTGATTGTGATACCCCACCAATATAGTCCCACATCAGTGGGATTGCGAGAAATTGAGGGCTTTATAATGTAAGTCATGGGGTTCAAGTGTAGTATTGACTAGTCGATTTTGGCACTGGTTTGAGCTAAACAACGCACTACACTCAACCTATGATTTGCAGCATGCCAAATGGCTCGCGGACCCGGGGCGTGACATAACCTATACACACATGCCATGCTTGCTTTCAGACTTAAATATTGCAACCAAGTTTAAAGAATTCGCTCATATCATACTATTTTGCATAATAAGGACAATTGTCTATTCGTTTGCCTTGACTTATGATCAGCTAAATGCAACTTTAAATGTTAATATAAATCTGCAAAAGGCCTATATCTAGTTCTTCATTTATTGATTCCAATCCAAACACCAAAAATGAATATTCATGAATTTTAGTTCATAAAAGTCCTTAGACGCCTTCAGAAAGCTCAAGCAAAACTAATGGTGTTCTAATAATTAGAGGGAGAGTTAGAAAATAAAACAATAACCCTCAACTTTAACTACAACTTCTGAGTTCTATTGTGGAGGTACGGGATTTCAAGATGATGTCAATTTCAAATTTCATCAGCTACAAATTTAAAATAGATTTTCTAAAATTTGACACCGCTATGTGAACGTCTTCAGAAAGGTCAAGCAAAATTAATGATGTTCTCTGAATTAGAGGGAGTGTTAGAATATAAAACAACAATCCTCAACCCTCACCACAACTTCAGAGTTTTGCTATGGAGTTAGGGACAATAAGATGGTATTAGTTTTAAAGCCCATGAGCTTCAAATTTAAAATGAATTTTCTAAAATTTGATACCGCTATGTGAACGTCTTCAGAAAGGTCAAGCAAAATTAATGATGTTCTCAGGATTAGAGGGAGTGTTAGAATATAAAACAATAACCTTCAATTCTCACTACAGCTTCAGAGTTTTCTTGTGGAGGCAACAGCTTTAAGATGGTATCTCTTTCAAATCCTATCAGCTACAAAATTAAAATGGACTTTCTAAAAATTGACATCGCTATGTGAATCCATATTTCAATCCATAAAACCTATAGGGATAGGTTAGAATACAAAACAAGAACCACTAACCCTCACCACAACTTTAGAGTTTCGTAAGAGCAAGGGCAGCAAGCTCCTTGCACCCCCTCTCAAGGCCTATGTGGCGGTGGGAGAGTTTGCAAGCCCTCCAACAAGCTCCCAATGAGCTCCCAAGCCATCTCCTTAGGCTGACGTGGACATTGAGAGCTTGGGAGCTCCCAAGCGCTCCACAAAATTGTGGATCGTTTGGGAGCTCACAAGCTATGCAAGATTTACAAAACCACCCCTCCCTCCATCCCACAAAACACACAATTGCAGAGTGATCAAAATCTGCCCAAAAAAAGAAGCAAAAAATCCAACCTTTTCTAAAATGAAGAATGCTCGATTAATCAAAATAGTGACTTTGACCGGTTCTAACCTGATAGACCATCTCCGATCGGCAAGTCCCCTCTCCGATCGGCAAGGCCTGAGCTCCGATCGGCAAGTCCTCGACAAAATAGAGACTTTAACACTAGAGATGAAGAGTCGTGGATTTGATTCGACGGCCGTATCCAACGGTTAGAAATAAAATACAAGAGGTTTAAATATAATTAAAAGTAATGGGTAAAATATTAAAATAGAAGAGAGTTTTTTTTGATATTGTTGGAGCTCCTAACTAGGAGCTTGTTGGAGCTCCATAAAAGAAGGAGTGCCTCCCAAGGCTTAATTTGTTAATTTTTTATTCTAAAATGTTTGAGAGCTCTTGAGAGCATGCTGACTAGGACTCCCAACTGGGAGCTTGCTGCACTTGCTCTAACGGCGAACACTTTAATATGGACGCTGGGTGGGTTTAGCCAGAACTCCTGGGTACGGCAAATATCTCCAATATCTTAAATATGGTAGTAGTAAATATGTGGATATCTTGAAGTTCCCAAATTATTGCCTGATCTTATCTCCAACATCTAAGTGGCAGTCGGCAACTATTTACATGCTAAATATGATGAAAGAGAGGGTCCTATCTGCAAAAGAAAAGAGCTTTTTTACCGAGGAATCTTGAGCGCCGGATCTGATGTCGAGCGCGCCCTGCGAAGTGCCCTGCTGGTTCTCAAAGTAGAGAACGTCCGGTGGGACCCGCGAGGGGAGGAGGGTGGGGCCCAGCCGAGCCTCGATGGAAGAGAGAAGGTCTACCATCAGATCTCTATGCGACGGCGGCAGGTAAGGGAATCCGGTCACCGCCGGTTTACTGACAGTTGGATCCATCGACGCTCGAGTTCTGGTTCGGGTCCTTTTCACCGAGAGGGGAGGGTGGAGATGAGAAAATGGTTGGCAGTGAGCGAGCGTGAGCATCGATGGTCGATGATTGGGCTGGAAACTGCGTTTTTTTTTTTTTTCTGCTACGCGGTAAAATGGAGTTTTATTGGTTGGTTTTCATTACGCGGGGCACGTCTGGCTGCTACGCATTTCATGATTATTTATAAGTTGTTTTTTTATTAGAGAATAAGATGATCTTTTTTAACGCCAATCAGTAACTCTATTTATAAGTGGCATCATACACCCAACTATTAAAATACAAAACATGTTTAAAATATTTTCACCGCATTATTCTTCTCCAAAAGTGATTTTTCCGAAGTAAATGAGTTTGAAAGTAGCCGTAGCCACGTAGATAAAGCTTTTGTTTTACTAGCTAAAAAACGCTTTGGGAAAAAGTGAAATGGCCTAAAACTAAATGGGATAAATTTTGTGTGAAGTAAAAGGATAAAAAAGGGTGGTTTTGATTTGAGGTTTCGGATATAAACTTTTGTGTTTTTCTGTGTATCTCAACAATAAGATAACACTTCCTTTTATAGAGGCTTTACGGTAACCACATACACCCCAAATCGTATCAGCCTCCATAATTTCCTTTACTCATCCACTAATCCCTCTTTTACAGATATTGAGGAAGTTATGCTAACAACCCAATAATCTCTAGGGAAAATTCATTGGTTGGTTTGGTCAATAATTGACCGGGTCATATTAACATCTCCTACACTTGATCAAATTAACCAAGTGACATGTCTCCCACTATCCGTGAGATCAGATGTTTCTTCTTACCATTACTCTCACTATTTATATAGAGTAACTCTTATTTCATTATTCATAAAATTTTACTTGGACTTATCTATTCCTAAGTCCCATCAAACTTACATGTTTGATAAAAGATTTCGCCGGTATTCCTTTTGTAAAAGTATCAGCAATCATATTTGTAGTAGGGATATAAGTTACTTCGACTTCTCCCTTTTCTACAATATCTCTAATATAGTGATACTAGATCTCAATATGTTTTTCTTTAGAGCTATTCACACCGCTATTGATCAAGCTAATCGCTGCTTGATTATCACAATAAATATTAATAGGCCCTTCTAACAATTTGAGATATAGATCAATCAAAAACCGTTTTATCCATAAAGCATGTGCAGTTGCCATACTACAAGGTACATATTTAGCTTCTTGTGTATATCTAGCAACACACCCTTATTTCTTGCTACTCTAATAAACAACTCCTCCTCCAAAGATAAATAATTACCCAGAAATGGACTTTCCATTATTTTTATCACCTCCGAAATCAGCATCAGAATAACCGAGGAGATCAAGCGAATCAGCTTGATAAACTAATCTATGAGTCAATGTACCTCTGATATACTTTATAATCCTTTTAATAGTTTCCCAATGTGCTAGTCCTGGATTATTTTGATATCGACTGACTAGACTTACAACATAAGCTATATCAGGTTTAGTGCATAACATTACATACATCAAGCTTTCAATTGCTTGAGCATAAGGAACATCTAATGGCTTTTGCCCTTCCAGGGATTTGCTCTTTACATAATCTCTTTTCCATGACCAACGGAGTTAGCGTCGGATTAGAATTCTTCATTCCTAACCTTTTAAGAATTAATCTTAAATATTTTTCTTGGTTTAAACTTAGCATTCTAGACTTTCTATCTCGAATTATTTGAATTTCAAGAATATATGATGCATCTCCCATACCTTTCATCTCAAAACTTTTCATTGAGATCTACCTTTATTTTATTCAATATTTCTATGTCATTTTAGAGAGCAATATATCATCGACATATAAGGATAATATAATAAATTTGCTCTCACTTTTCAAGACATGTACACAATTATCTAATTTATTTTGAATAAAACCAAGTTTAGTGACCGGATCATTAAATTTGAGATATCATTGTCTAGAAACTGTTTTAAATCGTATAGAGATTTCATTAATTTGTAAACTTTATGTTTTTGTCCTTTCACCAGAAAACCTTCAGGTTGTTGTATATATATCGCTTCCTTTAACTCTCCGTTAAGAAATACAGTTTTAACATCTATTTGGAATAACTCCAAATCAAGATATGCAACAATAGTCAAAATAATTCTAATTGATGCAAATTTAGCTACAGGAGAATATGTCTCTTGAAAAATCTATTATTGCCTTTTGATTATAACCATTGGCAACTAACTGTGCTTTGAATTTATCAATAGATCTATCAACACGATATTTATTTTTAAGCACCCATTTGCATCCTATGACTTTTCTATTTTTCAGTAGATCACATAACTCTCATATCTTATTCTTTTCTATAGAATCAAGTTCTTCTCTCATGGATTCTAGCCATAAAGCTGATTCATGCGATTTCATCGCATCAGAAAAGATCAAGGGATCTTGTTCTTCTATATTTGTGTCTATGAGAAATAGGATGGCTCACATAAATACAAATAGTAATCATCCATCCATAAAGATTATGTTCTTAGCCTTTTGTTACCTACAACCGGTTGATGAGATGCATTATTTTCCACAGGTATTTTATCATTTTCAATGTTATGTTCATTCATAATATCAGGGACATTAGTGAGAACAACATCGTAATAATCATCATCTATTATAGTTAGAGGTTTTGTTTCCTTTCGAACTTGTTTCTCTTCCTCTAGGTTCTCTAGAAATGTAGCATCTCTGTTTTCAGTAACCCATTTTTCTTTATTGTAGAATTTATAACCTTTTGACTTTTCTGAATACCTTATAAATCTACACTTTATTATTTTAAAATTCAACTTATCTCTAAGTTGATATGGAATGAGAACATGGGTTATAGATCTCCACTTCCTGAGATGACTCAGATTAGGTTTCCTTCCATTCCATAATTCATAAGGTGTAGATACAACTGACTCGGTGAGAATTCTATTTAAAATATAGTTTGCAGTTAATAATGCTTCTCCACAAAAGTTTTTGGAGACACCAGAGTGAGACAACATGCATCTAACTACATTCAGTAATGTTCTGTTCTTTCTTTCAGCAACACCATTCTGTTGTGGTGTATATGACATTGTTATATGCCTTTTAATTCCATGTTGAATACAATAACTTTTAAATTCTTTAGAGTTATATTCTCCACATCTATCAGTTCTTAAAATTTTAATTTTCATTCCAAGTTAGTTTTCAACTTCTGTTTTATATCTCTTAAAGTAGTCAAGAGCTTCTAATTTTCTAGATATAAGATAGACGTGTGCAAATTTAGAATAATCATATATAAAAGTAATAAAATATTCTTTATTACTATTAGTTTTTGGCACTTAGGGGACCACAAATATCCGAGTGTATCAACCCTAAAAGTTTATTGGCCCTTTGTTCGCCAATAAAAGGTTTTCTAGTTATTTTATCAGTTAAACAATGTTCACATGGTGTTCAATTGAACATTAGATAGTACAAGAAGTAGGTTCATTCTGATAATTTCTTTCTTTTTTAAAATACTAGCATGTTCTACTCTAGAATACCACAATTCAGACTCAGAAATATAACATGACAAGTAGCTCAAATTTAAAATTTTATTATCAAAATTATTACAACTACTGGAAGAATGTATAATTCATGTTTGGGCACATATTTTCCCAAAGCATACACTTTATTATTTTTTTCTATAGAAACCCGTTTATTGTAGAACCTAACTTCCAGTCCCTTTTTCATCAAGCTGGGAACATAGATCAAATTGTGCCGAATTCCTTATGTATAGAACACATCTTTGAGGACAAGAAATACTATCCCCAAGATCCAATCTATACGAACCAATATCTTCTACATCGAGATAGATATTATTTCCCATATAGATTCTCTGTTCTTCTTTCTTCAGCTCGGTGCATTCAGTGACTCTATTCTTGTCCTTTGCGATATGTCTGGTCGCACCGGAGTCGATCCACCAACCGACGACATCTGTCATCACATCATTGCATTCTATCACACCGACGAATTCTCTTTTGCTAGTACCCCCTTGTTCTGGATGCTTATAGTCTCCTTTATTCTTCTGTTTTTCACCTTGCGAGCAAGTGGGCTTGAAATGCCCTAACTTTCCACAATTGTAGCAGGTTCCATGGGGTACTTTCTTTCTCTTAACCTGCTGCGATTTTGGTCCTCACGGTTGTGGTTTACTAGGACTAGGGTTTTTATAGCTTCTAGCACTATGCCTCTGGTGGACATAATCGCTTGCTGCACCATATTCAGTTCTGGTTCTTTCCTACTGTCTATTAAGTCATGTTCTATCGCTAAGTGCATAATAAGATCAATGACAAATTTAATGGCAGGGTTCATTCTTAATGTGGTGGCAGCCACAACAAGGGATTTGGCAGGGTTGCATTCTTTCTGGGATTTCAGTCCCAGTAGTGGATAAGTCATTAGTCATGACAATCATCTTGTTAATATGCTCTACAACATTATCTCCCTCTTGCATACGACAAAAATTATACTTATACAAGAGGAGTTGAATGTTAACTTCAGAGGCGGTGTCATATTTTTCTTTTATAGCATTCCACATGTCCATGAAAGTCTTATAAGTTTCGAAAACTTTGATTAAGTTATCTTCCATGAACATGAGCATTAGGCTTTTTACCTTTCATCTTTTGACTTCCATTGTTCAAACCTTTTCTTTTCTTTAGGTGTAGATTTATCAGTAAGGGTTGGAGGAGTGGTTTCGATTACATCATCGATATTGTCATGGATAAGAGCATATCCTATTTTCTATGTCATATATCATAATTTCTGCCATTAAATTTATCAATTTTTCTTAGTTTTGATAGAATGAGTTCACTAGTCATTTGGTAGAGAACTAAAACTAAAATTCCAATTTAAAATATTATATAAAGTTGATGTATAGACAAATATACTAAAAATAGAATAAAGTTAGATACCAAAAATAAAATAAATAAATTAAAAGAACCTAATTGTTTCGAGTTGAGAAAGGAAACTCCAATTTGAACGAGATCGTCACCTAGTGGTGTTGAATGGAGAAGCACTTTGTCGAAGTCGGTTCTGACTGGATTCGGAGATGATTTGCTGCTGTCGTTGGGTTGCACCGGATAGGATTTGCGAAGAATTGTTCGGACAACTATAACTGATTGAAAGCAGATTA